ATTACAGAGTTTAGAAATCAAGTTAAAATAGGAACGCCATTTTCGCATTTTTTGCCGCTTCTGTCACCTACTCATGTGACGCCAATTGAAACGCCATGCCGCTGAAGTGGTTAAGACATGTGATTTTTTTAAAACTGAAGTTGGTTCAAAACGCTTAAACAAGAAAATCTAACTTCGTCCTTTAAAAAACACATGTATTAACCTGATAAAAATTGTAAAAAGTTTAAAGTTAATTAATTTGGAAAATAGCTTCGGGACCAAAGAAAATCTTTTTCCAGTGAGTGTATCTAGTGATCAATTAATTATTATTGCCCAATTTTCGTAATTTTTCATTTTTCTGGGCAGAAGTTATTTACATTTTAAAATCGTGAAAATAAGCAAAGTGCCAGTTTTAATTGCTTATTTTTTAACATTTGTGAAGAAAAAAGGAAGAAAGTGATAAAAAAATTAAAAGTTAATCACAAGTACTTTATATTTCATAAGTTTTTATTCGATTTAATGATTTCTCTTTCTCATATTTAGTGAATGAAATTTGCAAAAATACACGGAGAAAAATGGAGTTTGAAAAACTGGGAGTCAATATTGAAGAAACAGGACTCAGTCCACACTGTAAAAAAAAGGTTCTAAATTAGAGCTGATTTTGGTATTAAAAATAGAACCAAATTACGATTTAGTACCAAAATTCGTACTAAATTAGTACCTTTCTTTTTACAGTGCAGTAAAAGTACATTAATTCATTTCCATCAAGCATCTTAGGGTATTGCGTATAGTGTATAGAGGGCCTTAGTTCCAAATGTCACTGTAAAGAGCATTGAAACACAGGCGAAGATTGTAAGGCGCGCTGCAGTGTGCATAGTAGAGAAACTGGACTCAGTCCCCTACTTCGAAATTTTCACAATAAAAGAACGCAGGCGCGGAACCTGTCAAAAAAAATGGCCGACGCGACGCAAAACGAGTGTTTCCTTTTATTCACTTCGGCAATTTTATATAAAAAAAATTGGACAAGTGCGAGTTGTACTCGCACTGCAATGGCGGGTTCCGTACACAAATATTAAAACAATACTTGCAACATTTATCGGTAATTAGTAGAATTAAAATAAACAATTAAAAAAATATATTAAAATCATTTGATAAAAAAGAATAACTAAAAAAATTAAAGTATTGTATATATCTAATAAATGTAAACAATAATAAGCAGAGGAACTATAATTTTGAAAATTTTGTTCCTCTGCTTATTATTGTTTACAATATTAGATATACAATACTTTAATTTTTTTAGTTATTTCTTCTTATCAAATGATTTTAATATATTTTTTTAATTGTTTATTTTAATTCTACTAATTACCGATAAATGTTGCAAGTATTGTTTTAATATTTGTGTACGGAACCCGCCATTGCAGTGCGAGTACAACTCGCACTTGTACAATTTTTTTTTATTTTTAGTTAAGAAATTAAAGTCAGAAAACAATCTCTCATTTATTCTCTTAAAATTTCACTCTTCCTTAAAATATTTAATGCCACGTGTTTAAACTAAAAAAAATTAAAAAAATTTTTTTTTTTTTTGAAAAAAAAAATTAAAAAAATTTTTTTTTTAAAAAAGTTTCTTAAATAAATTTTTTGTCGTCAGACTGTAATAATACACCAGGATACCAATTTCCAGCTCATTAGGTCAAATAATGTAACAGTTAGGGAAAACAAATTTTTTTTTTAAATTTTTTGGTTTTTCCTTGACAACGCTATGGCCATCATTACATATCAAGTTCTCTATATTTTTCCTGTAATATTCGAGTAAAAATACACCAGCATGCAAAATTTCAGCTCTCCGTGTCGAATAGTTTAGAAGTTAAGGGAGGGGGAATGGTCACTTTTTATGCATTTTTGGCCAAAAATCTTGTTATTTCCTTGACAACGCTATGCCCATCACGTCCAATCACATTCGCTATATTTTTCCTGTAATCTACGAGTGAAAATACATATCTGGACCAAATTTGAGCTCTTTAGGTCAAATAGTTTAGCCGCTAGGGGGGGGGGGGACACGATTTGGCTACGGACAACAGAGTCTCACCAATAGGGTTCCGCCGATACACCGTAGGTGTACGGAACCCTAAAAACAATAACCAATCATTAAAAAAAAGAAAAATATGTTAAATGCACTCTTTATATATTCATATTCATTAATTCACAAGTTTTATTCTTCCAACATCTTCATACTTACAATTAACAACTAAACGCATCGGAAAATCTTACAATCATACGGGATTGAACACCTACCTCACCATACAACTAAATATACGCATAATTATAAATCGCACGCTTTTACATTAAGCCTCTCGGCTACGCAATCGATGGGGGAAATTTCCTATTTAAGAAACATCCCTTACCAATGAAATAAATTAGATCATGCGTGGATTTTACTTTGTAATTAATGTAAGTATGGATGTCAACAATATTCATAATATTGAATAAATAATATTGTCAACTAGTTTAAATTTGATAAGGTTATTAGAATTTAATAATAAATAAATAAAAAACATTAATTTTTTCTTAACCTTTTTCAAGTTTGACACTTCTCATGGTAAATTTGATTATTCTTTTTTTTCCATGAGAGAGAGAGAATAACTTGTGGTATCTACTTTATGTGCACGGCGTTTATTTTTCGAAAGAACTAGACTGAGTACTAGTTGTTCAATATTCGCTTCTATTATTGACTTGTGTGTTGTACACTGCCGCGTTCTTTTAACAATTAAATGAGAAAGTAATTTCTCATTCCAATTTTTTATACTTTTATTCCCTCTTAGACTATATAAACAGTCTTGTTTAAGCTGATGAATGGGATAACTTGTGTTGAGTCCCAAAGTGTTCAGCTATGAAACTTCTAATACTATAGTGTGTACCTAGCTGTCACATATTATTCTATTATTTATATTATTCAGTGTAGTACTCTACACTGACTGCATAAATCATTTTTCCATTTTTCTCCACACTAAAAAAAAAGTTTTACTTTCAGCCTCTTTTTGAGGCTGAATTTATGATTTAAACGGAGTCAGCCCCGTTAAACAAGGACAGACTTATGTGAAATACATGGGCTGAATTTAAGGTGTAAACGGAGTCAGACTTTTTTTTTCCTGTGTCCGTGTAGGTTATTTGACAGATGAACTTTAAAATATTTTTTTATTTAATATTTATTATTAATAATTGTTTCTATCAATTTATAATAATAAAATAATTCATTTTTAATAAATTCTAATAATTTTTTCAAGTTTTTCTAGTAAATTATGTGTTTTCTTTAATATTTTCTAATAGATGAAAAAGTGACAGTTTTTACGACTGTATACTTTAGATGCATATATTACAATAAATATAAAAAATATTTAAAAAATTCTTTTTGTTTGGTGATCCTAATATCTTTAAAATCATTCCTGCAAAATATTACAATTTTTTAAAATTAGTCGGCAACGACTTTAGTCGAAATATAATGGAATGACTCGAAATTAAAAGTTTCGTTTTGCAAAGGTAAAAATGTGTTCTTTATTGCTAAATTATTATTTTTAAACTGATAATTATCTATATTACGTTAACCGATTTAATAAATTACTTTGATAGTACTTTTTTAGTGTTTAATTAACAATTCTTGTAGAGTTCGGGGCTACCCGACACTTTTTTTCTAACTCATTTTAACCAAAAATATATTGTTTATTTTATGCCACTCTAAATGTTTATTTTTTGAAACCATGCGTCAAACGTGTTAATAACATCTTCTTCTTCTTCTTAAATGACTTTAGGCTTTGCCAACTGTCAGAACATACACTTAGAAGAATAAGAGTTAAGAATTAAAAGTTTCCATGAAATTGGTTAATGTGAACAAAAAAATGTCGTCAAACGCGATTCGGTAAACTATATAAATCTATGGCGGTTGATGAACACGTGTTGGGAGGTAAAGATGTGAATTAAATGTTTATACTATTACAAATATGAGTTTAAGTTAAAAAAAAAGTCTGTTTAGAATCATTTTCTCCGAATACTTGAAGTTAGACACTTTAAAAATACAAATAAGTCAAAATTAGAGAACTATAGACATTGTCAGGTGAATCCTCACTTAAATTAATGCTTGAGAACTGTACTTGGGAACGGTCAAAACCGAACTTCTTAATAACATCATTATGACTTTACAATCTCCTCAACATCATTACCATAAAGTAAGCACTGCCACTGCGCGCGGTTTGGAAGGGATAGTACCAGTCAGGTAGCAGTACGCTCTTTGGGCCGTTCACTGCTACCTGACTGGTATTATCTCTTGATTATTGTTGATTTGTTGGGTCCAAAGTTGGTGTGATAAGAAACGATTTCAAAGTTTTATTCGAGCTGTTTTGTTTTGGATTCAAATTAAAATCTTTGAAAATCTGTATTTTTCATACTTTTAATTAAGAATGTTATGAAACAAATTTTTTTTAAAAAGCTTAACGAAATTTTTTAAAATTATTTTAATGTAAATGTTTTTATTTTCTAATGTAAGTTTCATGGAAGAATTTCTGAATAATCGAAATTGAATCGTAAAATTAATTGATTAATAAAAATTTAATCGTAAAATTGAATTGTAAACAAATGAATTTGAAAATTCTGAAAAGAACTTTATCAAATTGATTTAAAGAATAATTTTATTTAAAAGTTGTAGGAAATAATAATTGAATTAAAATTATGAAAATAATTTTGAAAAAGTTAAATATTTATTTAAAAATGAAGTTATTGTTGTTTTCAAATAATTTTACAATTAAAGAAATTCGTAAATAAATGTAATAGAACAGTTTTTTGAGTATCTAATAATTTTTAGAGGGAATCAGAATATTCTTTTGGGTCATGGAAAAAGTCAAAATTTGGTCTGGAAATCAGGGAAAAGTTAAGGAAAAACAAAGTGAAGTTTTTGTGGCAACCCTGTTAAAAATCTTTTTTATACAATATTGAAATTCATTTCTACATAATCGAAATACTTGTTTTAAAAATAGCCAAGAAAGAAAGTGCTTTGGAGAGACAACTGAAAGAAGAGGAGAAAATTTTGGAGAGTGTAGCGGAAAATAAAGCCCTTATGGGAGTTGCGGAATTAGCTAAAGGTATTCAGTACGAGGATCCAATAAAAACAAGTTGGAAACCACCAAGAGCTGTGATATATTTGGGTGAAATTCGTCACGAGAGAATTCGTCAAAAGCTGAGGATTTTAGTCGAAGGCGAAGATGTACCGCCACCATTAAAAAGTTTCAAGGAAATGAAATTTCATCGTGGTATTTTAAATGGTTTGGAGCACAAAAGAATTATTAAACCAACTCCAATTCAAGTTCAAGGCATTCCAACAGTGTAATTAATTATAAATGTAAATTATCAAATTCTAACTATTATAAAAAAAATTTTCTTGTGATATTTTTCTTTTGTTTTTAGATTATCGGGTCGCGATATGATTGGAATAGCGTTTACAGGTAGTGGTAAAACTCTCGTATTTGTTCTTCCTCTCATTATGTTCTGTTTGGAACAAGAGACAGCTATACCTTTCGGAAGAAACGAAGGACCATACGGTATGAAATATTTTAATTATACTGCACAGAAAAAGTATCGGCACGTCAGATGTACAGGTTGTGTCAAATTTTCTTCTACATTTATTTTGCACGCCATCTGTGCCAGTTTGGCGTATCTGACGTGCATTATGTACGTCTGATATCTCGAAATGGCACCTCAGACGTGCAAAATGAAATGTACTGCGCTGTTGACACTGTCCTTGGCGCATCTAATGTCCCGGAATTTTTTCCGTGTGTGGATGAAGCAGTTTTCGTGCATGTCTTCGTAGTCGTCAATTTTTTCAGATTTCTTTTATAATAATGTGAATTCATTTTTCAAAATAGTTTAGCAGTTTACCTAAGCACATTTAAGTGAATAATTTTTTTTTATAATTGTTATTGTTAAATTAAAAATGGACGGTGATTAGGACATCTGCGATATTTTAAATTTGAATGCAAATATTAATATAAAAAGAAATTACTAATAGGAATAAAATTTAACATGAAAATAGTTATTACAGTCCTCGGATAAAATGACTTTCGATTTTTTACTACTTATTTTAATAAAATGTGCATTTTCCTACTATTTTCTACAGATTGCAACAAAATACATACCATTTTTTTTAGTTTAAAAAATACAACTTATTTTAATTTTCATTCATTTCAACAGAAATTTAAAAAATTTAGTTTTAAGTAGGGTAAACCAGACAGTAATCGGACACTTTTCAGTTTTGAATAGCTATAAAACCGTTTGAGATAAAAATATTTTGTTTGTTGCTAATCATTTCTAAGGTGATCATAAACAAATCTAAACTTTCGTAATAGAAAAAAAAATTTGTTGAACGGTTTTTGAAAGCTTTTTTAAGTAGCCGATTACTGTTGGATTCTTACTTGTTTATTTACTAATTTTTTTAACGAATAAATTTTTTTTTTCATAAACATGATTGGTTTAATAGTTTTGTGTGATCGTAAGGAACAACATCACATAAAAGAATTCGAAAAAAATATGAATTGCACTTTTAAAACAGTGTTAATTAAAAAGATTGCTTCAGGTGGCCGACTACTGTCAGATTCTTACTTTTTTTGTAAATTTTTTTATCGAATAAGAAATTTTTTTTTGTAAACATGATTGGTATACTAGTTTTATAGGAACATTAGGAGCAATTACACATGAAAGAAATTTTAATTGTAATTTTTAAACAGTATTCATTAAAAAGATTTTCTTAAGTGGCCGACTACTGTCTGGTTTACCCTACTTTTCAAAATATATTTTTGAGTTGGACTTTTTCGAATATATTTTTATGAATCTCAACAACAAGAAAGTTACAGAAAAATAAAAAAAATCTTATTCACTAGTGAAAAAATATCAAATTTCTAGAAATGATACAAAAATTATGCTTTTTTGTATCATTTCTAGAAATTTGATATTTTTTCACTAGTGAATAACAATTCTTGTTATAGAATTTTCTTTTTCATGTTAAAAACTATTTAAAAAACCAGTTAAGTTACAGTTCTAATTTTTATAAAAAATTTAATTTTTGTATTTAAATAATTCTCGAATAATATAAAAAAATTCTCGAATTCTCAAAGAGAAGAATTTTAGTAAAAATTCTAGAAAACAGTTGAATAAATATTTAAGAGTTATAGTAGAAAAAATAATTAAAATTAATTAAATTTCAAATGTTTTAAATTGTTAAAAAAAAGAATTTTGAATAATTTTTGGTAAAAATTCTAAAAATATACATTTTTGCAAATTTGGATTCAAATTTCTTTTTACATTTAGCTGAATTTTAAAATATACATCTATCTACATTTAATTAAAATATTTCCAAGTTATCAAAATTTTGTGAAGTTTTTGAGTGAAGTTATTTTTTTGAATAATTAAGTAGGGGAGGATGGGGCAAGGATAGTTATGTAAGACCTTTTCGGATCTAACCGCCAAACTTATTTGGCTATAATTTTGCTATACATTATGTTACTGTAGACTCAAATCCCTACGAGATACGAATGAAAAAGTAAAAAAAAAATTATAAATAATTATGAGGCAACCGGGTTAAGATTTAATTTAAAGTATAGAAATTATAAAAGGGGGTTCGACTTAACCGATAGCACACAAAAATGCGAGTAAAGTTTCCTCAGGTAGAACTGCCAAAAGTGATAAACAAGCCTTCTGTTGTTGAGCCAAATGAGAATGTCAAAATGGACTTACTTTATTTAATAATTTTAATAAACTCAACAAATATTACAAGCGCGGAAAACTATAAATGATCAACAATAGAACGCCTTGATGCAAGAACCAGACATAGCTCCGAGAAAAGAGTGGGGGGTTGTCCCCTGGCAATAAAATATTCAACTTCAAAATTTTTGAATTTTTAAATTTTATTCTTATAAAGAATAAAAAACTGCATCTTTTTTTCCTTTGAGAAAAAGTTGTAGAATTAATATTTTTTTAAATAAAATTAAAAAACTTGTTTTTTCTCAAACGAATTTTTAATTAAAATTTCATCTTCAACTCGCTGCCAAATCTACAATTTTGCATATTTTTCAATCAAATTTGGAATGGACACACTTTATATTATCCTTTTTGAGCATATATGTTTTAAAAATTTATATGTTTGTTTATAAACAAACTAAAAAATATTTATTAGCCAATGGTAAAATTTTAACACCATAATCTTTGAACGCTTCGTTTATCGAGGAAATTTTGAGCAAATGAAAACTTCCAGTGAAGAAGTTGTTCAAAATAGTATAAAAAAGTTTTCTGGAAATTATTAAATTATCAAAATTGATAGAAAAAATTCTAACAACGTTTAACTTTTCTCGCGCGGCGGACTCTAACGAAACGAATTTCTATATCTGGCGGAGCAAGCCAGGACTGTCTTTTCATTTCACAGCTTAGAATAATGAAAATAATTAATATTTATTATTTTAATAATATTTTTTAACGCTAATATAATAATTTATTTATTCTTATATTGAGTGATATGAAAAAATATTGTTTTCCGAAAAAAGCATATTAATGTTTTGTTTTCATTATTCTAAGCTGTGAAATGAAAAGACAGTCCTGGCTTGCTCCGCCAGATATAGAAATTCGTTTCGTGAGAGTCCGCCGCGCGAGAAAAGTTAAACGTTGTTAGAATTTTTTCTATCAATTTTGATAATTTAATAATTTCCAGAAAACTTTTTTATACTATTTTGAACAACTTTTTCACTGGAAGTTTTCATTTGCCCAAAATTTCCTCGATAAACGAAGCGTTCAAAGATTATGGTGTTAAAATTTTACCATTGGCTAATAAATATTTTTTAGTTTGTTTATAAACAAACATTTATTTATTTATTTATTTATTAATATACGTTCCTAGGGCTAATAAGCCCATAAAGGAACAGTTAGCATTTTACAATTTTTGTATAACATACATAGGAGTATATATAAAAAAAAGAGAAGTAAAATAAAACATTAGAAACTTAGATGAGTAGTAGAACCTAATAGCAATTATATATAATTGTAGTGCTTAAAGAAATACACCACGACATTAATATCAATTCAAACAATCGTGATATAAGCCAAAACATTGCAGCAGGTAGTCTATAAATTTTTAAAACATATATGCTCAAAAAGGATAATATAAAGTGTGTCCATTCCAAATTTGATTGAAAAATATGCAAAATTGTAGATTTGGCAGCGAGTTGAAGATGAAATTTTAATTAAAAATTCGTTTGAGAAAAAACAAGTTTTTTAATTTTATTTAAAAGAATATTAATTCTACAACTTTTTCTCAAAGGAAAAAAGATGCAGTTTTTTATTCTTTATAAGAATAAAATTTAAAAATTCAAAAATTTTAAAGTTGAATATTTTATTGCCAGGGGACAACCCCCCACTCTTTTCTCGGAGCTATGTCTGGTTCTTGCATCAAGGCGTTCATATATATATCACGTAATGTGTTAAGGCCAACGCAGAATAGATCTGTAACCGGAACCGCAATCGTAAGCGTAACCGTAAGAATGAGTTAGAGAAGGATAAACAATATACCTATCCTTCTTTAACTCATTCTTACGGTAACGCTTACGATTGCGGTTCCGGTTACAGATCTATTCTGCGTTGGCCTTTATGATCAGACGCTAGTCTCTCTCTGGCGCTAATTTCGCCCAGCGAGCAACATGTGCTTTTGTCGTCTGCTAGGCGCGAATTATGCGCCATTTACAACTTTTCATTTGAAAAGTCGCGCTAATAGTAATAATATAAAAAGTAAAATATAATTGATTAGAAAAGACCACTGGGAATGACATTTTATAAAATAAAAGTAAATTTTGTGAGAGCAATCGTTACAATTAATAAAAGTTATTATAAGAAATTATTTGTCTTCAATTTAGAAATGTCATAGATGATTCTTGGTATTGTAACAACCGACATTAACTTTGTGCAGTTGTTACAATTTACACGCTGTCATTTGTTAGACTATAAGAATTACTTGTAGACATTAACGTGTAATTTTTTTCTTAGAAAATGCAGGCCGTCAAACTAGGACCAAAAAAATTCAAAAAATTTGGAACATTCTTATTAACAGAAAAGTAATTTTTAAAATTCAAATGTATTTTTTTAATTAAATTTTCTTAAAAAATATACACCATATGGTGTTTTATATATTTTCTAGAATTGTTTTTAGTACAGAAAAATTGTTCCAAATTTTTTGAATTTTTTTGGTCCTAGTTTGACGGCCTGCATTTTTTAAGAAAAAAATTACACGTTAATGCCTATAAGTAATTCTTATAGTATAACAAATAGCCTTTAAAATAAGCCTAAGATCATTAAAAAGCGTGCATTATTTTAGAAGTTATTCAAATTTTTGTAAAACATTGAAAATGACGATTTTTTAAAAATATCTAAATGAATTATTGGCCAAATGACTTCTGAAATATCTTGTTCTTTTCAAAATTTAATCATCTATCAAAAAATGAACAGAAAAAAATTTTAGTTTCAATAAATTTTATGTTTTAAAACGTTTTTCATTCGCCTGAAAATG